TATTCTATTCTATTCTATTCTATTCTATTCTATTCTATTCTATTCTATTCTATTCTATTCTTAGCCACCATTCAAACCTTGGGATTTTCTTTGCTATTCACTTCACTGTTTCCTGTTGTGATCAATATAGGAAGGAGCTGCCACATCATCTAGTTACAAGGTGCATTATGTCATTATAGTCATTATGAGTACATTAGAAAATGTTCAAGGACTCTGAAATGACAGCTGAGTTACAGAATTGCTGTGGCCTATTCTCCTCTAGCAGTGCAACATTTAAGGGCCCATCTGATAACAAAAAGCACTCCTTGCTCTCCTTTTCTTTTTGCTATCATTCAGAGAGTGAAGAGAAAGCCAAGCTCCTAGTGCTAATCACTTGGTCTTCCACAGAAAGCAGGCATTCCACTTGCATATTTTTTGTACTATCACTCTAATGGGTTATGCTAAAATAGTTATGAGTTTATGCATGAGTCAGAATAAAACAGTCACCATATCATATGACATCTTATTCCCCCCACATACCATCAAAAGGCAACAGCTGAGGTCAAAATCTTTGCAGTAAAAAGAAAATGGAGCTTTAAATTTGAGACTAGTAACTATCCAAAATGCATAAGCCAAAGATCTTTTAAAAGGAGCCAAGAGCCATTTTTACCCCCAAAAGCTAGCTCAAGGGACAACATGGCAGTGATATAGGGTTCATTTTGTCATTTTGTGGGAGAGGTCTGTTTGTATGATTATAATCAATCAAATAGGTGCCTATCTTTACCTCTAAAGAAAAGGTTGTATCAAACACTGGCTTGAACAGCCTTGATTGAGTATGCAACTTTATCACAGAAGAGCTATTGCACAGAGATACACCCATGATCCTTCCTTTGCTCTCATCAACATAGGCAAAAAAAAATTTCAAGAAGACAACCCTTCAGGAAAACAGGTTCTGGCTTATTTATGATTTTGAGGCATATTAGCATGCTGAACCGCATTCAGAAACAAGTCACTTGAAGTCTATTTCCATCATCCAGTCTCAATTAGCAATGTGTGTCCAAAAGGAGACCATACTCATCATGGTAATCAAAACTAGAAGTCATCAGAAGGCAGAAAATAGCAGCTGGGCTACTCTTTCTAGAAGGAAGTAGAATTGCTGAAGCAAAGAATGGTCAGCAGCATGGAATCTTATTCCATGGCAAAACAGGCAAATATCACGAAGTTAACTTTCTTAAGCATATATTTAGTAAATGTACTTTACTAAAGTCCAAAAAATCTCCTAATGAAATACTGGAAGAACATCACAGAGATATCTATTTTATGAAACACATGAACTCCATTGTTCTCCAAAATAAAATTCCAGGAAGCCTAATGCAACTTGCTGGTTATATTCATTCCAGCAAGCCTATTTGCTGCTTAGTTTTTGTGGGCTTTCCTTTCTTTTTCCCATCATTTTCTTTTCCAATGGTATCGTTTATAATTCATATTGAATGTACTGGATGTGCTTGTTTTCAACTGTTTCATTTATAAATCACATTAATAACTCAGTTTATAAACTGAATGTGTGTGTGTGTGTGTAAACAGTAAGATTTAATAATGGGTCTTGCTACTCAAGTTTGAAGAAATATCTTAACAGAATTGAGCAGAGTTATGATTCAGATATTCTTCTGAACAGTGATTCAGTTGAACCTCTGGATCAAATCAACTTTCTGAATCAGATCAGTGATTTGAGGTGAATCAAATCAATTCAAATCAATTGTGCAAAAGCCTCAAAAAACTGATTCAGAAAACTGAATCAAATAAATCTGAATTGTTCAATCTCCCCACACCAAATCTAACCATCCTTACTATCTAATAAATGTTGATTGTTATTATCATTTCTAAGCCATTCAAAGTTTCCATCCATGATTAATACATGTTTTTTTCTGTGAGAAAAACTGTCAAATTTTGAAATTACAAATTAGCTTAAAGAAGCTGTGATTTTTTTTCCAGCAAACTTGGTGGAAAATATATTAATTATCCATTTCTTGCATTTTTTTATTTTCTGCCAGCAGGCAAATACATTTTTAGTTTGACTACTATTTTAGTTGTATTTTAAATTTACTCTTCTTGAACACAACCTATTTCTTGGTAAACTAAAAAAATGTGGGCTAGATACCATCATCACTAGATGATGATGCTATCTAGCTAACAACTGGCTGACAAACCATACTCAGCAAGTAGTCCTTAATGGTACTACATGTTCAAAGAGGAAAGTAAGCAGTGGGGTAGCACAAGGTTCCATCTTACACCCAGTACTATTCAATATGTTCATAAATAACTTAGATGAGGGAATAGAAGGGAAACTCATCAAATTTGCTGATGACACCAAGCTGGCAGGAACATCCAAAATCCCAGACAACAAGCTCAGGATCCAAAAAGATCTCAATAGACTTGAACAATGGGCTCTATCCAACCACATACAATTTAATGTGGAGAAAAGCAAGGTTTTACACTTAGGCAGGAAAAACCAAAGATACAAGTACAGAAACCTGGCTCAAAAACAGAACTATGAGAGGGAACCTGGAGTCCTAGTAAACATGACTTAAATATGAGCCAGGAATGTATGGCATAAGTCAAAAAAGCTAACACAGTCCTTGGTTGTATAAACAGAAGCATAGAATCAAAATCACATGAAGTATTAGTACCACTTTATAAATCTTTAGTAAGACCACACCTCCACCCGGTTTTGTCACCAAATTACAAAAAAGTCAAGACTTTGGAAAAAAAATGTAAAGAAGAACAACTAAGATGATTTTATCTGTCAGAGCAATTGCCTGGAGACAAAAACATATGAAGAACACCTGCATCAATGGTGTTATTCAGCCCGTTCGCACTGCATCGGGCAAACTGGTAGCAAGGATTTGGCGTTGGTTGCCGAACCGGTAATAAATTCTGGCTCGCCATTCCCGGTCACTGCTGGCTTGCCCCACCCACCAATGCTCACTCACCCTGCCCATCTGACTCTCACCCCTTAAGGTATTTCTTTCTTTCTTTTCCCTCCCAACAATCAGCTGTTCATATGATCAGCTGTGCCAGGATTCACCTTCCTGAGCCCCAGAGGAGCCTTCTGGGAGCAAAAATGCCCCCCTCCCAAGGCTCTTCTGAGGCCAGGAAGGTCCCAAAATGGAGCTGGGGGTGCATTTTGTTTCTTCCTGAGCCCCAGAGGTGCCTTCTGGGAGGAAAAATGTCCCCCTAGAAGCTCCTCTGAGGCCCAGAAAGCCCCAAAATGGGTGGGGGTGGCTGCAGAACAGCAAAAAGCCACACCCACCCAGTCACATGGCCATACGCACCTAGACACGCCCACCAAGTCACGCCCACAGAACCGGTAGTAAAAAAAATTGAATCCCACCACTGACCTGCATGGTAAGTCTAGAAGAAAGAAGGGGTGACATGATAGCAGTATTCCAGTATTTGAGGGTCTGCCACAAAGAAGCGGGGGTCAACTTATTTTCCAAAGCACCAGAAGGTAAGAGAAGAAACAATGGATGGAAACTAATCAAGGAGAGAAGCAACCTGGCATTAAGGAGAAACTTCTGAACAGTGAGGACAATTAAGCAGTGGAACAGCTTGCCTTCAAACGTTGTGGGTGCTCACTGGAAGTTTTTAAGAAAGACTGGACAGCCACCTATCTGAAATGGTATAGAGTCTCCTGCTTGAGCAGGGGGTTGGACTAGAAGACCTCCAAGGTCCCTTCCAGCTCTATTCTGATTTATAATTTGTGGAGAAATAAGATAGAAAATAAATGAAAACAAAGCAATATGACAATTGTACCACTGTATACTACTTTTTATTATGTTTGGTGCAGTGTTTGAGAAGAGATAACTTGGTAATGATGAAGAAAATTGCTTTCTACTCTGAGTTGGTGCTTAGAACAATCTAAGGAACTAGAGTTAGCAAACAGACGGGTTGTATGATGCATATAAAAAACAAACAGAGCTTTGTACATTAAAAAAATGAGTAGAGATTCGGCTGCATTATTACAGTTACCAACTTTTCTGAACACATCCTGCTGGCATCCCTAGAATTAATACTGTGGTTGGCTAGTGGTTGTCTATGTATAATTTATAGAAGTCCTAATGGCTCCCTAATGGTTAGAATGCAGTATTGCAGGCTAATTCTGCCATAGCTTTTGAGTTCAATCCTGATGGGCTCAAGATTGACTCAACCTTCCCTCCTTCCGAGGTCAGTAAAATAAGGCCCCAGATTGTTGTGGACAATATGTGGGCTCTATAAACTACTTAGAGAGTGCTGTAAAACACTATGAAACAGTATATAAGTCTAAGTGCTATTGCCATTGCTATTATTCAGATGCAGTGTGTATGTATATGTGTAAATGTTGCTTTTGTCATGATATGGAAGTTGTTAGCTCATAAATTGGAAGAAGCATACAAATAATCCTTCTCCCTCTTAAAACTATCAATAACATACATACATACATATCACTGAAATGGGACATTAATTTTACTTACATCCATAAACTCCACATTAGCCTTTGGACCAGTTGTCTCATTCAGTATTTTAATTGCTACAGAAATCTTCACACTCTCTCCCTCAGGAACCCAAATGCCCTAAAAAGTGATGACAAAGGGAACAACAGCATGTCTCATCAAATGGTAAAATAGTCCTCTTTGACCATAATTTGACCATACCACTACACTTTGACACTGGCAATAGGATAACAGTATTGACTGTGCTTGAAGGTACAAGCTGACTTAGGTACTAATAAAGCAAATTGCACAGTATTTGGTCCTCCAATTCTTGCCAACCATTCCCAGCTTCTTAGTGGCCATTCAATTCATTGAGAGAAGAAACAAGGGGGTTTATATTAAGCTGAACATTTATAAGAAAAGAAGGTTGATATCCTATTCTAGAAGTCCATTGATATCTGCCTTTCCACTTGGATAACCACCAGATCCTGGAAACAATAGTTGTTGAAGGACTGCTGTTAAGGAAGCATACCTTATAGACAGTTCCAAAGGCCCCCGATCCAAGGATCTTGACGCGCTTTAGCTCAGTTTCCTTCAAAATGCGAAGTTGTGCCTGATTGGGTGCTGTACCACTAGGAGTCAAAGGTTCTACCAGCTACAACAACAACAACAATAACAACAAAACATCGTAAGAAGCCATGGAAAGCACTATCTGTCGTTGAATTTTAACATACCGGTATTGTATATTGTTTGTATTTAATTTTTCATGCAACTCCTTATTGTGCTTTTATTTTCTCTTGATGCCATCCAGCAAAAATTAAGATAATGAAAGCTGTGATTAGAGAATTACTAGGAAGTAAGCTCCACTGAACTCAGTAGGACCAACTTTTGAAGAGGTAGGCACAGGATTGCACTGCCTTAACAGCAAAATGAGAAACAAATCTCTTACGTTTTCCAAATAAATCAATGGATTTGGCATGTGTTTAATTATGGATTACATATATAACAAAGAAATTTTAAAATGAGAGAATGTATTTGCTTCTTTGTTATAGACCAACTTTCCTTCAGAACCAGGGAGCTTCTCTGGCTGAGACCAGTCTTTACCTGAACCTGCACTGGAATGGCTCTGAGTGAAATTTTGGGATTTGACTTCAGAACGTTTAACAATGTTTCACTCTCTGTCCATATGAAGCATTCCACAGAATGTCAGTTTTAAGAATGAGAATGGATTTTCTTCTTCACGTTAAAAGGTATCATTCCGATTCCTATGATTTAATTATCTGGGTAGCAAATTTTTTCTTTTTTTAAATTTCTATAGACAACAAAGACATTAATTTAATAGCAAATCTTTTATAGTTTATGTGGAAAAAAAATTTAGGTGTGTGTGTGTGTGTATATTTGTGTGTTTTCAAATCAGTGTTGTTTCCTACAACTGCCTGCACAAGTCCCCGCAGTTTTCTAGGCAAGGTTTTTAGGAGTGCTTTCCATTGCCTGCTTCCTAGGGCTGAGAGAGAGTGACTGGCCCAATATCATCCAGCTGGTTTTTTGACAGAACTAGAACTCGCTGCTTCCCAGTTTCTACTCTGATGCTTTAACCATTACACCAAATAAATTCTTAAGGCACCCGGCATTGTAAAACTATGTAAATTAATGTAATATATTTGCTTTACTGCCATTTAAACTTAGAAAGAAATACCTGGAGTTTTTACAGTATACATGTTGCAGAAACAGTTTTGTTCTGCAGAAACATGTTTGCTTCTGTTTGTTCTTTATAAACTGGCAAGCTAACTTAGCTTATCTATTTATAAACTGCTTATAAACCTTTCACTAATTTTTTTAGAGGAAAAATAGTCATGTTTGTGGAGAACCAAACTGAATTCACAATTGTAAAAACTGTTTCAGGCATCACTTCTCTTTTACTGTAGGAATCATTCTGTTTTTGCAACATGTTCTTTGCAAAGTAATATGTTTATCATTGTAACTATAGATCATAACATAGGAATGCCATAAAATACAATAAAAATAGAATGATAAAAACAATGAAATTATAAAACAGTATGGTGGAAGTATTAGACAAAAAGGTTACAACAAAATAAAGCCAAGCCATAACTAAGAATTTTAACTATTTCTTTCTAAGTTTAAATGACAGCTGAGCAAATATAGCAACTTGGTTGCTGACATTTGGAAACACATCTGCCAAGAAATAATTCAATTTTTCAAGGTCAGAGTCCTTGAGTTCATTTGCCGTTAATAATTTGGCCTGCTCTCACTGTAAATGGGGCAGTGGAGGACATAATGGATAAGGTTCTCTGCTTGACCAGCATTACAAGGACAGAGGTGCTGTTCAACAGAGAGCTTACAAAATCTCCCTTTGAGATAAGTTAAAGGCTTGGTCTGTAGGCAGAAGGGTGCTAAAGCCTTTCTCAGTAAGGCACTGGATATGTTGTCCACTTCTGGGAAGGGCGTTTCTGTTTTGTGTAAGGATGATACCAACATGAACATCTGGATAATTGTATGACAGCAGCATCTTCATTAGGATCCCTTTCAAAAAGGCTGGCTCTAATATTGTCTCTATTCCAAGATCTAAGTTCTCCCAAGGATGGTAGGGAATACATTTGTACAATGGGTGTCAAAAGTTTAATCCATTGATTTCTAGTTAGGTAATAAAGAATTTGGCAAGATGGGAATCTTGAAGGATTTCTAGTTTCTTATAGTGCCCCAATAATACAAGATATATCCATTGTTTTAACATATGTCAGTTTCCTTAATTTCTATTCATTCTTAGCTAACACTAATTCTGTAGTGCTGACAAGTTAACCTGTGTTTATTAAAACTATTTTCATTAATGAGTTTTTAGATGAGATCTGGTCCTGACAATGATCAACATACTTGAATATTCTTCTTACAACAATTTAACCAAGTCAGTTGATTTTGATTAGATATTTTGTGCTTTTGTCCTTTTTTTCAAGTAATTGATCTGCTGTTGTGGCAACTGAGTTTCTAGAAAGTTAAGGTGAGTTACTGAATGCATCAATTGATCAATGCTGTATCCATTTGGACAGTAAAAATATTTTTGGTTGTCCCATGGATATCCATAGGGTGGTATTGGGGTGATCATAGAATGTCTTTTGCTTTTGTTGCTGAATGCAGGGCATATAGTTTTATTTCTGGAATATTGGTTTTTTTTTGCATATGAATCATCTGGCCTGATTTGGCATATTGTTCTAGTTGGCTTGTTTGTTTTGCATCTGGCAATCTCTCTTGCAAATAAAGATATCAAAGGCTGATTTATATAACCATTTCTGAAGTGGGAAACAGTAATGAGCAACACAAATTACATCTCCCATCCTGTCCCTGCATTTTCCATGCACAGAAGTAAGGTTTTAAAATAGCACATCATCCATAACATTCCCAGAAACAGCAGGAAAAGCATCTAATTTGAAGCACACCTTTGTGAAATACTTCATATCCATTCATTACAAGGAGATGGATCTTCATTTAATCCTGTATGGTGATAAAAATGATTATACATGTACATACCACAGTAGTATTGGGGGCTTTACTCTTACATCAACTGGGAGACAAACTTTGTAGCAAGTGGAAAATCAAGCAGGTCCCTGATCAGCCTAGCTGACAACATTGTCATCCAAAAGGTAGAGAAGGGAAGTAGAGAATCAGCTATATTGCAATTAGTAATAGGAATGAAATGACAGATGGAGCTGTAATTGTGGAAACTTTGGGAGAAAGTGACCATGTCATGCTGGAATTCAATATAATGCAGGCACAAATTACTGAACAAAGTCAAACTAGTG